TGCCTAGCAATGGGTCACCGGGACCCCAAACCAAACCGCCGGTCTGTGCCCTGCCGGCTATGTGAGCCCTGCCCCATGCCCCCTGCCCCCTGCCCCCAGGAGCATCTCTGGCCCTTCCAGGGTTCCAGATGAAGACATGCAGAGCGGGCGGAGCCATCACAGCAGGGACCTGCCCGCCACCTCCAGCCCAGGGGTACCTGCCACCTCCTGTCACCAGCTGCCTGTCTCCTGCATTTCTCTAGAAATCTGACATCTGGGGTTTGGAGGGAAGAGAAAAAAAGGCAGAAGGCAAACCTAGAGCTGACATCTGATGGCCCATTCCCCCTGTTATAGCTCCATTTGGTTATGGAAGCAGTGATAACACCACACAAAAAAAAAACCAAAAACGAAATGCCTGTGATCAGGGGCTATAAAATGGGAATTCTAAGGTGGAATCTGGAGGAAAAGGCTGAGAGAGATCCAGGATGAGTTTTCAAGATTCTGACTGAGAAGAGCAAGCACCTCCTGCTGCGCTCTTTAAAAAGTTTCCCAGATGCTTCCACATCTCAGTGGTCTACCCAAGGCCAGGCCCAGGCTGCTTAACACCCTCATCTCATTTACTTCTGAGCATAAAGCCAATAAGTCAGTGCAGACAGGGAAACTGAGGCCCAGGAAAGCAGAGCGACCTCCCTGGATGGGCGCAGGAATCCCACCCCGGCGCCTGGCAACATAGCCCGTGCTCCTTCGACCAGTAGACCCCACCCCCGGGGCCGCCTGCCCTCAGAGCTGACGCCACTTGACAGTAATGTGACTAAAGACAGGGGAAGGCAGAGCGACACATGGGACAGGAAACACGACAGTTGTTCTGAGGTCGTTTCTGACGGTGGCATCCTCAGAACCCAATGGAAGTGTCTCCTCCATTCCGGGGAGACCTACGCTGGCTACTCTCACACCAGGAGACAAGGAACCAGGGAGAGCAGAGCATCCGTAAGGGAAGGAGGAGGGTGCTCGTATTCACAGCACGTGCACCACGCGCCAGGCACACGTCACTGCACGTCACAGTTATTGGGAGGTAGGCTCCCTGATGAGGGAACTGCAGCTCAGAAGGTCAAATCACGCTGCGTGAGGCTGGCAGACTTGGCCTGGGTCCACTCCCGTGGGGCAGCATCTCCCAGTGCAGGCTGCAAACCCAGCTCCCCCAAGCCCCCTTCTCCTCACCCCTCCTGAAGACTCGCATCCCAGATAACAGCTCAGAGACTCATGCTCTTTGCAAATGCTGGACCCCCCTCATCTCCCCTCCCAGGGTTCACTCCTCCTGCTCCCCTTGATGGATGGGTCCCCAAGTTCCAACAGTGGCAGAGAGAACGCAGCAGGAAGGGATCTTAGGGAACGGAAGGAACACCTATACAGGTGGGTATCTAGCCTACAGCCGCCCCTGAGCCAGCACTCCAGGACAAACCCCCACCTCTGACCAAGGCCACCCCTCTGTCTGCAGATGGGCCTCAGACACAAGCTCCAGGGACCTCCTTCGCCCACAGCACATGGTCAAGGAGCAAACCGTGACCACACACAACAAGAGCAGGGCTGCCACCTGCTCACACTCCAGTCATGTCCCCTAAGCAGGACACAGCAGTCCCCTAGATGGCCATCCTCCCACCAAGCTCCTGCCCCTCCAGGGCGGTTCTTTTGGCTGGGGATGTCCAGGGCGGGGAAGGGCAGCAGGTGCTCAGTTGTTGAATGAATGAATGCCCAAGGCTTCAGAAAGGTCCTCCTTTCACTCTCCCACTTCTTCATTATTAAAAAAAGGGGGGGGGCTAGTTAACTACTCCCTTTTTACCCATCTCCAGAACACCATCCCAAGGAAAGGTCCAACCCTGGTGTCATGACCGACAGAATTCCAACTTGGTCCTCACCCAGGGGATGCCTGTAAGGGTGGAAGAGATCCCACATATTTCTAAGCCAGCCCTTCCCATCCATCTCTGGAGCCCTGCCTCTAGAAACACCTGGCCGGGGGGCTGGGACCTGTCAGGGCCACACTCAAGAGTCCTAGCTCTTGAAAAGGCGGGACCTTCGCGGCCACCTGGGCACCTCAGCCCAGACAGTCCAGCCAGAGGCAAAGTCCCAAGAATCAGCAGCCCCCGGACCCCATCCCACCAGCTGCCAACCAGGGCCAGCCCTAGGAATGACAGGGGGCAGCGGGGGCACGGGCAGGCTGGAGCAGCCCCTCACAGCCGGAAAGCAGGAAGCAGAGAGGCCTGGGCGCGGCCAGCGGTGCCGGGGGCCGGGCCAGCGGCTGCGCGGACTGCTGGGGCCCGGGCGGAGAGGCGCCCGTGGTTCGTAGTCCCCCTCTTAAAATATAAAGACTCAATGATCTTTGAACAGCTTGCTTTACACATGAATTGACACATTTATTTTACAATAAATAACTGAAAGTTATCTCTGTTTCCTTTACTGTTAATCTACACAGAGAAATAATAAACAGGGCTTGTCTACAAAAATGCAACTACTGCAGTCCTCAGAATTCAATTAAGCTAAAATAATTAATGCTCCCACCATATTAAATTACTTTATACATTTGAGCCACTGAAGTTTTATTCTTTAATCTTTCCTTTTTATTAAATATAAAAAAAAAAAAAGAAAAGAAAAGTTGGTGCCGAAGTAGGGAGGGAAAAAGCAAAACAGGAGACTGGGAAGGAAAAAAAAGCACGATGGGCTGTTGAAATGGAATGGCCGTCTTCGGCTGACACAGCATGCAGACTGTTTTGTGCCTTTGATTAAAATAACGTTTTAAATGCTTTGAACAAACGTATCTCTTTAGACTTCTAAGGGATTATTTTACATATTTCTTCAAGAATGAAGAAATCCATTCGTCCTGTTGCTGAACAGAAAAGGCCAAGAATATCTTTCGTCACACGTAGAATAAAAATACTGTCGGCTGCTGCCGTATTACAACCCGGAAAAACGGGGGATGGCGGGGGACAGAGGGTGGGGGGTGAGGACAAAGCCACCTTGGAGATTAACTTTGCCTTTTATGCAATCATATTTAGTCGCTTTCTTAAACAAACCTACCGACAATGAGCTGCAGCCTCTCACTGGATCAGACCTTCAACATGAAATGAGGATTCAGACGGGGTTTGGCTAGAGCAGAAAGCCCTTCCATTGACATGTGAATGGGGCCCAAGTCTCCTTGGCAGAAGCCACCCCTGAAAGGTCTGTCTGCACTGACACCAGGTGTTTATACCACTGGTGGAAACTATCCCTCCAGCATCAGACAAAGAAAAGAAAGGGGTGGGGACCCCAGCAACATAGACAAGAGGGGCCCAGCACCTTTCTCAGTCACGGCTACAGCCCTAATGAAGGAAGCATCGCTCAGATCTGCATAGCACTGAGAAACCAGGCTTCACAGAATTTGGCCTTAAACAGGGTGGACACTGTTCTCAGTGCCCGTGGTGAATGAAGAGTGTGGGAGACTTTGTGTGAGGACAGCCACCAAGAGGCCAGGCCCACAGGCCAGTCTGGTTCGACAGGATCTCTCCAGTGCCCAACACGTGCCTGCAGGCCTCTGCATACCAGAGCAGTCTCTTCACAGGAGAGAGAGCTCATCAGTCCCATTGTACAGATGGACAAAGTGAGGCCCAGGGTCACAGAGTTGCCAGGTGGCTGCCAAGGAGCAGCTGGGCTTGCTGCATCACCCTACCTGCCTCCTGGGTGATGGGCGGTCCCCTGTCCACACCCATGTGTCTCACCCGTGAGAGCAGAGTGCCCTGGTTACCCCAGGCTCACCCTCCAAGGAGCACCCAAAGCCTCAGTCCATCCTGCATCTCCCCTGGCTTCCACGACCAAACAGTGGAGAGGGATGCACACCCTTCCCCGCCAGCCACCTGCTTGCACGCTACGGTGCCAGAAGGGACCCCCAGGAAAAAGTTTCACTGCCAAAGCATTTATGAAGCCCCTGCCCACTGAATCCTCACACCAGGCCTGCCAATATCACTCTGAGGACGTATGGGAAAACTGAGGCTTGGACCCTGAAGAAGCCAGTCCGAAGTCCACTGGCAGGATCTGAGCCCTAGCCTGCATGCACTTCGAGGCCGTCTCGCTGCAGGACAGGCTGCCACTTCCAGGGAACACAGGCCAACCAGGGCCCTGAGCTCAGAAGTATGAACCAGAAGCAAACACTCCGGGTTGCACGGAGCACGGGCTCCTTGGAGGAGGCTCTAGCGTGCCCCGACGTGGCCTGGAGAGAAGGACTTGATGCAAACTCACTGTGGTGAGCCCACCTGGCTGGAGGACGCAAGCCCCTACACCTGTTCTCTAAATGGTAAAAGCCAGCTGTCCAGGTGGCCAGCCAAGTGGACGTGCCAAAGGGGATGTCCAACCTTCCACAAGGGGCGCAGTGTCCCAGCAAGTTCCCACAAGCCCCTCCCGAGACCCACCTCTAGGATCAGGCAACATCAGAAGGGGCCTCTGAGATCAAGGGCCTAACCCCTCATTTTACAGCTGGGAAACTGAGGCCAGAGAGTGGAGGAGGAGAAAAGAGCGATCCCCTTCGTAAGTGCTGACCCGGCACGGCCAACAGGCAACGTCTCATTAAGCCTCACGACGACCCCAGCAAGAGAGGTCTCGTTAGTTCCATTTCACAGATGGGGAGACTGACTCGCCAAGTTTGTGAAGAACAGACTCCAAGACCGGCTGGCTCCAAAGCCAGAGACTAAGCCAAGAACACCAGCAAAGTGAGGGCCAACGAGCCTTCTGAATTTCCATCCCGACCTCCTGGCCCCACAATGGAGCACACTGCCAGAAGCAAAGCAACCATCACTCGCTGGGCCGCTCTGAGCCCCAGGCCTGTCTCCTCCCGAGGGTCACCTGGATGGTGGACCCTCGGCCAGGGCAAGCCCACCTGGTGGCCCCTGGGCCCTCCCAGCACCGACACCCTCAGACAGAGGGTGAGTCCCCAGCACAACGAGGGCGGGGGACCCGGGAGGTGGCTTCGGCAGTGGCCAGGAGACTGCCATGTTCCATACCTGCAATGTTCTCCTGCTTGGGGCAGATGCCTTTCGTGGGCGAGAGCAAGTGGTCATCTTCGTCGGGGGTGACCTGGATCCCGATCTCCACCGGCTCCGACACTTTCCTGAGCTCAGAACGTGAGGAGGGCGGCGGGCTGCCCTGGTCCAGGCCTTTGTCATAGCAGGCACCCAAGCTGCTGCCACACTGCTTCTTCTTGTGCTCTATAAAAACCAGGATGTCCCCCAGGGGGAAGTTCATCTGACACTGTCCACAGGTGAGCAGGTCAGGGTCGGGGCCACCCACCATCAGCCCCAGGCTGCTGGGCTCCTCTATCTCCAGACCCTCGTCTTCCTCGAGGATGGCGGCCTCCACATGGTCAGGCTCTGCTGGAGAGAGAAAGGAGAAGGGGGGGCAGAGAAGACAAGATGGACTTAGGCAGTCACGAGCACCCGTCGTTCATTCCAACCCTTCCCCACCTAGAGGCAGGCCCTGCCGTCGCGGGATGCTGGCAGTCACCGCATCCTCCCCCAGACTCCTGGAGACAGGGGGCTTACCATCCTGCGTGCAACAGATTGGCAAACTGAGGCTCTGGGAGCAGCTCTGCGGCTCCCAGAGGCTATGGCTTAAGTGGTACTAATCTTACAGCTTTCTGGTTTACTTCCTGCCAATTTGCCCCTGCCCCAGCCTAGCAGAGGGACACACACACGTCCTGGTGTCATGAGAGACTGGGCCGTCCCCAACTTGGCAGTATCATCTGGAGGTCTCTCTCAAACTTTGCAGCATCTGAGACTCAACTGGGAGCTTTGAAAACCCCCGATGCCCAGGCAGCACCCCAGATCAATTACACTGAGATACAAATGTCAGGCTGTCTTGGTTGGTTTTTTTTTTGAGACTCCCAGGTGATTCAGATGGACAGCCAAGGCTGAGAACCACGAGCCAGAGCCAGAGCTGTTTCTCCCCGCTCGGGCTCGAGCTGCGCCCTACCTCCCCTCCCTCCTTTCATTCATGTCCTCCCCATTCATTCAAGTCCTGCTTGCATTCCTCTACCTGAGACCTGGCTTCACACCAGACAAGAAAACAGAAACCCAGATGGGCATCCGAGGGCCAGTTCTTCCGAGAGAAAGAAGCCCACACGCTCAGAAAGCAACAGGTGAGTGTTGGTTCAAAAAGAAATATCGAAGGGGAAGCGACGCAGGGGAGAGTCACTGCAAGTCGGCTGGCTGAAAGAGGGAGCGGCTTCCTGCCAAACTCCCTGCTCCCGGTCAGACTTCCATCGCCTTGTAGACTTCCCAGCACTCACCGACTCCCCACTGTCCTTTTTTGTTTGCTGGGTTTATTTTCACTCCCGAAAAAGAAAAGAAAGAAAATAATAATTCTTTAGACTCCAAAAGCACTTGTTGGCAGATGACAAACCACACTTTCAATGGGCTGTACATTTTCATATTTCTTTAGCAGCCAATCTATTTCCTTTCTTTTTTTTTTTTTTTTTTTGGTAGGGGGCACAGGTCCCAAATATTTTGAAGCGACTCGATGCCTGGAAAAGCAGCAAGGTCCTCAGGGAAAACCTGAAAAGGCAGCAGCCGACAGCGTCACAAACAAGGGAAGTGGGCAACCAGGTGGCGCCGTCCCTCCAGGTCTGAACAGACTCGGGGTGGGATTTTTTGAGAGCAAATGTCAGTAGTGGTGTAGAAGGCACAAGTGGCGGGGTCTTCAGGGAAGCTGGGGGCAGCCAGAGGCCAGAAACCCGAGGAGGCAGGTATATTTTAAGTGGTATGGTATTTAGGAAAGGATAATGAAAACCACAGAAGAACAGAGAGAAAAGAAATGGAAGAGAGGAAAAACACATTCCGTGGCAGTGAAGTTATTGACGGGCCAGAGCCAAAGAACAGATAATTTAAGGAAAAAATTCTGTGGCATCTTCCATCCTACATATAAATCACTGTCCTGTATTTTCTGAACACAAGCTTCTTCAGGGCCCGTGAGAGTCCACGCAGATGGCCAAACGTCAGGGAGACGGTTCAGGACGTGCACCCCGTATGGGCTATGCGTGTGGCGCAGGTACCGCTGAGGAGGGAAGTGACACTTTGAGATCCTGCCTGTGCTTACGGAAAAGCAGGCAGAGCCGTGAATGAATTACATGTAGCCACGCACTGGAAACGTGGCAGTGCAAAAACACCCCGCAGAGGAGGAAATCCGAAATCTCTCGTCTGCATGCCCTCCCACAAAAAGAACCTATAAGGTAAGAGGAGCCACGTGCACAAAAGGCAGCCCCAGAAACCATTAATTACACTGTAAAAAGAAATCGGAGTTTACTTTAAAAGGAGTTAGAAGACAATGCCACGTAATTAATTTACCAATTTATTTTATGAAAAGATGGTTAAAATGTAATCACAGCCCTCACGCCGAACAGCGGTTCTAGGGGGGACTGGGTCCCTGTGAACGGTCTGTCAGAATGTAAAAGGCAATTATTCGGTGCCTCTTTTCCCTTTAATGATCTAACATTGAGCAATACTGTTTATATTGAAAAGCTCGCACCTTTAATTACCAATTACATATACATAATTTCAGAGCCAAAGGAGAGGGCTGTGAAAACAGTTCTTTAGAAATATAAGGATGTATTGTACACCATTGCTAGAGAAGGAACTCTAATAAATGGGAGGAGGATGTCAAAATATTGTTTTGTTAAGAGAGAGAGAGAGAGAGAGAGGCACAAAGGAAATGAGCTGAAAAGCAAAAAAAAAAGGACAAAACGAAATTGAGAATTCAAATGAAACAGGGGTGAGTTCTGCGGCAGGGAGGCTGGAGGTACCTGGGCCCGTTTTCAAGGCCTCTCCTGAGCAGGCCTAGCAGCCAGCTGCATCAGTAAGGGCATTTGATAAAAACAAACAAAGGCAGCAGCTAATCCAGCCACATTCCCTACTTGATCATCTTCTCTGAGGGCAGGGAGGTGTTCGCCGTTGTCTAATTTCATCTTTGGTTTCCTTGTTCGGTTTCTGTTCGGCTTTGCTTTTCATTCACTTTTTCAGCCAGTCTGTCCACTCCCTCTCTGTGGTGGAAGGTCTAGGAGGCATGAATGGCTCCTCTCGGCTAGCAGGTTTTAAGCTACAGAATTTCCAATGTATTTTCTCCTTCAAAAGAAACACAGACTAATTTAAAAATTAGCCCAGGTCACCTAGGCCTGTCCGCGAAGTATTCTGCCCTCTCCCTTCCATCTTTTGCTAAGGACTCTGTTCCAGCACTCTTTCCTTTTTCTCCTTTTGTTTTTGGGGTTTTTGGGGTTTGTTTTTTTTGGTAACATCTGGTATTCTTTCCTTTATTTGGCAGTCTCTGCCCTTTCCACTTTCTTCATGCCGCAAGCCTGTGAGCCCCAGTAATTGAGTTTGAAAGAACCCGAAGCCGTTCACTGAGCTTCAGCTCTGATTTCTGTCTCCAGTCCCCTCGCAGCCACCCTGGGCAGCCAGGCTCTGCCGGCGTCCCGGCCCCCGGAACAGCTCTGATCTCAGGTCTCCAGCTCTCAGACCCAGGGCAGCTCCCTGTCTCCTCCCAGGACGTCCAGGAGGAAAAGAACCCAAAAGGCCTCCTTCCTCTCCCACCTGCAGCCTTGAAAGTAAAACTCCCGGAGACGACAGGGGTGCTCACCCAGCTCCAAGAGCGAGGCTGCCTCTCCCCACGCCCCCCAGGGCGGGGAGCTCTGGGCTTTGGCCTATTGGGGAAGGCACTTCCCAGGAAGGTGGCAACGTCACCCCGCAGTGTTTAGGCAGCAGAGCCACCCCGAGCCCCCAAACTGTCAAACTTTGGGGTCAGAGCGGGTGGACCAAGACAGCTTGCTGAATCTCACGCTCAAGGCCTCCAGAGACACCCCAAAGACGGGCTGTGGTTTCGTTTCCGCTGGCAGGCGGATACTGAGCTGGGCGTGTGGGGTGCGTGTGTGCCACACGTGTGTGTGTGTGTGTGTCCCTTCTTAGAACCCTATTGCTAATGTAAGAAATACAAGGAGAAAGAGCCACTGGGCCACGCTCAGAAAAGGCAAAGTGAGACAGGCCTGGCCCATCTAGAACCCTCCTTTCTCTGTCTCGCTGGCACGTGGATGGAGCCCCGGCGAACCAGGCCTCTGCTGTGACAGGCACAGCAGTCCAAACTACCATCCAGAGACCAGAAAGCACCAGGAAAGTGAAGCACCACGTGAAAACAAAACAGCCTTTCCAATTCCCAGACCCTACAAACCAGCCCCCCACCGCCCCCCACCCCGGGCTGTCTTGTCCGGCAAACTCGGGCCTTCGTAGACAGAAGGCAAAGATGAGGGGTTTTTCCCCTCTGAGATGATTTCTGCTTTCATGAAAAGCTCCCCAAGTGTCAGGAAACCCTGGAAAATATTGCTGCCCTCACTCTTCTGAGCCGAGTAAAGTAGAGGGATTGCTAAAATGTTTGACTCATTAAAAGGAAAAATGAATGAAAGCAGCGTTTAAATGTCAGGTATCAGACTGGGGTGGATTCTGAAATGTGAAATCCAAAAGCACGTGGACACACACACACACAGTTAATTTTCTTTTACAACAAAACCACATTTAATTTACAAGGCTGGGCTGATAAATGCATTTAGAAGCAGTGAAATCAGGGTTCACAGATACTAACGGATATCGCTGTTAAATGGACAGGGAAGCCCTCAATCTTAAGACCACTCCCCCAGGCCTCAGCTTGGCTGGGAAGGAATTTGGGCAGAAGACAGAAATGGAAAGACATCATTAACACCGGCCCGGCCAAGCCGCCCACAGGCCCCCAGCAGCTGCAAAGGCTTAGCAGGCCTTACCTGGCCAGTGATTCCCCCACATGCTGGGCTCCCAGGGCCCCGCCTGCCCAGTTCTCCTCTGACAACTGCCCCTGCACCTGCCCCACGGGAATTCCAGCCCAGGGGCGGGTCTCCTGCTGTCCCCAGAGCACGGTGTGTGCACCCTGCTGCACACACAGCACACAGACCCCATGTTCCCCTGAACCCCGCACTGATTCAAATCCAAATCTCTACCTTTAATGGCTAAGCCACAGACTAGGAGAAACATATGCAGAATTATTGTTTCACTGATGAGGGGGAGGGGAAGGAGGGAGGGGAGGAGTGCCAGGCTCTCAAAATCGTGGGCTGCCAACGTCACAGCCGCCATCCTATTTGTACGCGTGTTTACGAGAAATGTTCAGCATCCCTCCGCCAGAGCTCTGCTTTACACCTGCTTCCTACGAAGACAGCCTTGGCCAGGCAGCCCGTGCTTCCCAATCATCTGCAGAACAATCTTTTCCTTCTCCTCCCCATGAACATTCAGGGAGGGGCTGAGACCCCCGGCGACACCTAAACGCCACCAAAACGCGCACTCGACGGAGCACAACACTTTCTGGGCTGCCATCAATTTTTAATTTATTGGATCCAAGAGAAAATAACAACTGTGGGGTGGGGGGCAGGGAGGGAGGGGTAGATGGGAGAGAGAAGGAATCAATTCTTGACGGAGAGAATAATCTATGACTAGGTGATGCTTAAAGCCACAACAGGAGGTTTTATGAAGTTCTCCGCACAGAGGGAAGAAGGCAGGGCCGGCAGAGGGGTGGGAGATGAGACAGAGCCTCAGCCTAGCCAGGCACGTGTTCGGGGGAATGTCCTCACAGGGCCACAAAGGGATAGGATGCTGTCAGGTCCCAGCCCTCAGCCCCATTTGCCCACCAAATTCCTGCCACCAGCAAGCTCGGGGCTGCCGCTGGACCCAGGGAGGGCACAGCTGGGCTGGCGGCAGGTCACTCAGAGAAATGAGCCCTCTCTTCCTGGACCACCTGCCCTCCAGGGAAGAGGGCTGAGCAGACTCCAGCCTGTTCTAGGTGTCACATTGCTGGTGGCCCAGGCCCCGAGCCTCCCCAAGAGACCTTCCAAGGCCACCTCCCCCGCACCCTCAAATCGGCTGCGGGGACAGGAGTACACCAGGGCCGCCACCACACAAAGCCTTGTCTGCTCCACGCCAAACGCAGTACATGCGTCAAAATGAAATCTTCCACATTTCTGGTATCCGGGCAGAGAGAAGGATGCCAGGGCACAATCTTATCTGTAATGTGGGTTTCCTTCCCGTGAATGACCTGGAGTCTGGCTGGCTGGGCCCACGAGGGAAGGCCTAGGCTTGGCCTGCATATCAGGAAGATGGAGGACTCCTGATCTGAGGAGAGGTTTGGGGTACAGGGAGAACCCAGCCAGCAGACTCCACACTCCCCATATACACACATTGTCCTATGCACCCCCCCCCCAGGATACTTCTGCAAATTAAAAATAGCTCCCTGAAAAATACCTTAAGTTGCTCTACAGACTTAATCCAACCTCCCCCCACCCCCACTGCATCTACCTCCCCAGATCCCCCAAAACTGAGCTCAGGAGGCCAGGTCTCACACATTCAAAAGCAGAAAAAAGACCCAACCAACGAGGGAAGCAGCATTCGGGCGTAGCCACAGAGCCTGTCCTGAACTAAAAGGTTACTAAGAAAAAAGGCAAGTCCACCATATACCAAAGACAGGAGGGACCTAGGTTTTGATAAATAAAATCGTTCTTTAAAGAAAGAAAAAAATGTGTGGCTACAGAAATCCTTCTAAACACATTCAGAAGATTCCTCAAAACTGCAAACGCCTTAAATCTTCAGACGCAACAGGGCTCGTCATGATGCGATAGGAAAGCATTCTTTGAGGCCCAAAGAAGAGATTTGTTTTATTTAATGCTGTGCTTTTTCAAAGGTGCTTAACAGAAGAAAAGAAGGACCCTCCGTACAGGACGCCGAACTACAAGCTTTTAACTGGAAGAGATTCTCTGAGGCTGACACCCAGACAGCCATGGCAGACGCTGCTTGCAGCATCTCATCGCCAAGGTAGAAATTTAAACATGACTCCCCCCTCCTTTTGTTTTAATTCTTAGCAGCGCTCCCATCTCTGAGGCCCATGTTAATCACAATAACATTGGCATTCAACTTCCTTGAGTCATTTTTGCGTGTTGTTTTGGTAGAGAGCTCGTTAGAACATTCTCAAACGTATTTGTACTTCAGCAGTTCAGTGGAAGGGGGTGATAAAAAAAAGTTGTGTAAAAGGGAGGGTTTTTTGGTTTGTTTTTTGTTTTTTGTTTTACTTTGAAGTTACCTAATTTTGTGTGGTCTGGGATTTCATTACAGTGAAAAAAGCGCGGGCTGGCTAATTCAACACCCAAGCAGATTATCAGCTGCCTTGGAAAAGGAAATAAAGAATGAATTTCTTGAATTTCAGCAACTGCACAAAAGACTTGCATATGTCAAAATGCCGGACGAAAGTCCCTGTGAATGTAGCACCATTAATCAAACCGCGATCTGGTGTCACTTTTGCCAGTAAAAACGATGCTGTTGCCCTCACCCCCCTCCCTGGCTCGTGCAGAAGACGCACGAAGTGTGTCCCTCTGCTTTCATGTGTCTCCAAATAGCCTGCTCTCCGCACTTTTTATACACGCCTAGGAAAAACTACTGCTCAAGGGAGGCAGTCAACAAGGGACGAAAACGCGGGCAGATCTCACTGACCATCAGCTCTCTGGGAAGTGACATTTGTGGGATGGGGAGCAGTGGGTAGGGGACACCACACAGGCCCCCAGGCCCAATCCTGTGAGTAAATAAAGAGTGCTGGGAAGGACAAAGCTATCCTCAGAGCAGCCGGGTGACACAGACATTCATTCCTGGCATTCTACTGTCCCCTCTCCCCATGAAAAAAATACGCCAGTGGACCTAAAGCTAACACCACCTTCAGAGAAGGATGCTAGGCAGGCATCAATAACTTGACCGTGCAGGACAGGACACAGTCCCCCAAAAGCATTTATTTTCCTTTGTCCTCCCAGGTGTGGCAACAGCATTAAACCCAAAGTCCCTGCAGAGTTCCAGCTAAAGGTAGGCCCTACTCAGACCACCAGAGGGTCCTTTCTTAAACCATAAGAGATACAGGAGATAGTCCTCAAAGGTCAAGGGCTCCATCTTTGCTCTTCCCCATATATACATATTTTTTCTTCATTGTCGTATCTGTGGTCAGTGCTTAGTTACAGCTTGTAAAACTCCCCCAAGTCCCGAGGCAAAGGATTGGGGGTTTCTAAAGTCAATTTTTTTTAACAGTTTTCTGCAGGCCAGAGGCCACTGCCCAGCCCAAAGCTTCAAGATGACAGTGACACTTCATCCCTGAGTTGTCAAATGAGCTCGCTGCCACGATATGCTTACAACAGGCTCAATTCAAACATTAAATGAAGTAGAGAAATCATCAGATAAATTGCTGGCCCTCTGTCCTGGAGAGTGAAGGCTCTTCCTCCAGCTGATGACAGCGCTGGGCTTTTGTCTGACCTAATTTATTTCTCTTTCAGGTTAGAATAAAGCACTCCTTTCCTGTCGCTGGGTAACCTCTTCTGCACATATACTGAACTCAAACATACGACTCAGGGCTAACTGCGCTGTCTGCAGATTTCTTGAACTTGGAGAACACGACATTATAGATCCAGAAATCCGGGGATCAAAAAGCACACATACTCCCCAGCATGAAATTACACGGTTAGGGGAGTAGTCTCATTAAAAGCCATCCATTAAGGGCACTGTTTGGGGTGAAAGGTATTGGCAACGCTGGGTCTAGCAAGCATACACTCCTTCCAAACAAAGTTTTACATGTTATTTGAGTTGGCATTTTATATCTTTGGGGAACGGTGCTATTTTGCTTAGTACAGTGGGAACGTTACCTAATAAATGGAATTGAGAATCCAAGTGTTATAAAATCTGAGCTAAAAGGATTTCCATTCATCAAACTGTTTTAGATACATGATTCCCCAAAGCAGCGATTCTCGGCAGATCCCTGGGTCTGTGACATGCAACGCAGAAATGGACAAAATGAGGTTCACTCTTCAGACACTACCTAGCCCTACCCACCCCCTGCCCCATCATGAATGCCTAGAGGGCCTAACAGAATTTTCAGAAAGTCATCACCACAGGCTAATCGGGGGGAAACACACCCGTTCAAAATTAACAATTGTAATTGTTTAAAAAAAAATTAAAAGAAAAAGAAAAATGCCACCCCCCACCTAGTGAGGTCTTGTAAGTCAATGCCAATAGCTTGAAAATAGATTTCTCAAACTTATATTCGCATTTTGTCCTTCTCGGATCTCCGCAGGAAAATCAATATTACAACTTCACACTTAAGACATTTTGCAGCAACGTAAACTGCTTTCATGGCTGATGGAAGCCGGTTCCCGGCCCCTCGCAGCGCCGGCTCCAAGCCATGACACGGGCGCCGAGCTCCCCCTAGCTGCCAAGTGGCGCCAGGCGCGGCTCCGCGTTACAGCCTTGCCATCCACCCAAAGCCAATTCAACCGAAAGTTTATTTTGGAAAGTACTTTATCACAACAAGCAACAGAGAATGCAAAGCGATCGAGAAAGGAGATGAAAAGGAAAAACGGAAGGCTGGTGCGAGCCGTGTTCTAAGCTCAAAGCCAGTGCCAAAGGCTCGCTTCTGATAAAGACGCTAGAGAAACTGGTGCGCTCGCTCGGCAGTCAGAAACTGATCTCTGGGAACTGTTTTGCGTGTTTCCATCTCACCTGAGACAGAATGATCATTACTATCCAATGCACCAAAAGTTGGCCTTCTCTTGGGTCAGTGAGACCCATCTAGCCCTGCACAGCGGCCACAAAGCATCACACCCAAGCATCTGACCTCAGCCTCCCTCCATGTTTCTAAGGCCGGCCTCACCAAAGCAACTGCAGTCACTCCAGCACTTGAGACATGACTCGTTTTCTGTTACGAAATATTCTGAAGGCCAGACAAAAATCACCAAGGCCAAAGCACAGGCAGAGAGCGACCTCCTACCCTCAAGAAAAAAAAAATGCATCTATACATCACATTCCGGGAGGGAAAGACTACCCTTTAAAAATATTAGGGGTTGTTAAAATAGGCTCATGACTGTTTTCTCTCAGGTGTGAATTACAAATGAATAAAATCAGCCTGGCATAACACCTTGCATGAACACATTTTGATTCTCCCTTGGAATCAGAGCAGCTGACTTATATCACACTTCTAATGATATGGGGTTCCCTTCTGTGCAGAAGTGATACAAACTTCACTTCCCCCCACCAACTACCAAAAAAAAAAAGAGGGGCCCAGGTCTTATGAAATGTATCGGAGACCCAATTTTGCAAGACACATAGGCCACCGGAGATATACTCTACCCTGGGGAGTTCAGAGCATTGTGAGCACAGTGGCCTTCAAAACCGGCAGCAACAGCAAAACCTAATTTAAGAGGCAACCATGGAATTAACACAGTTAGCCCAACTTCCGCGTCAAATCCTGGGTCTCGAGTCGTTTTGCAAAAT